GTCAAACCGACAAGCTTGCCGAGGCTATAGCGAGAATATCCGGTTCTGGTTCACGTTGCTGCTCCATCCTTTGTTACCACCTGGTTCAAGGTGATCAGGTGAGGAGGGAAGGTAACTGTTGGCCAGCGGCTCACCACACAATTGGCTCGTAAAGATTGCTGCGTCTGACAAAAGCCTCCTGAAGAAACCGGGGGCCCAATCATCCCCAAGACGGAGCATGTGTGTGTTTATGGCACTGCCTGCGGTGCATGAAATCTGACAGCCAGGGTCTGCTGAAAGCACCTGCCTGCAGACACGCACCGACGCATTCATGCACACGGACAAACACATGCCGAAGCTCGTAATTGGGCTCCTAAAGCCAAAGGAAAGGAAAGGAAGAAGAGGGAGGAAGAAAGCACTTTTTGTGTTGTGTGTTGTGTGTATGTGTGTGCGCGTGCGTGTGTGTGTGCGTGTATGTGTGTAAGTGCTTTTTTGTGTTTCAGTTTGAATGCCCTGGCACACCGTCAACTTTGTAAAACCAGGCAATTTCCTGTGAAGCCGTCCAAGTGTGACAGCTGTAGGTGCCTAATGGGCAAGGCTTAGGAAACGAGGCATTACCAAAATCCAGCGAACTCAATTGTATTAATCCTTAAGATTAACAGCTTTAATTCTGAACATGTTTCCTGCGTGAAAAGTCTCATTTCCTCACCTAAAATGAGAGTGGGACGTGAGGCGAACATCACACATACTCCTGGCGATTCTGCAGAAGCGGTCCCACCGTAAAACATTTCGCACGTTTTGTAATTTCGCCACGAAATTCTGTATTTTGTTGGGATTTGATGCGGCGGAGCAAGACAAAGTTGTCGAAATGAAAAGGGCGAACAGTTTCAAGTCATATTTAACAAAAAGAAAAGAAAACCTGAAACCCCTGGTGCGCATATTTAGTCGGCTCCCTCTGAGAGAAATTTCTGTACTGAATTGCAGAACCACTTTTCATCGCAATGTCAGCTTCAAGATAGTCAGGGTGTGTTTATCTCAGCCGTTTTCAAGCATCGCCACAGATTCTCGATTAGATTTGGATCTAGGTGACATTAATTAAACCGTTTCGCTCTGGCTGCGTGGTTCACATCCACTTGGAACGTCTTCCATATCCGTACTTACGAGAATCATGGCATGACGGAGACGATAAGCTCTGGATGACGCGAAATGTTGGTTTTCTTTCACACATAATACCTGCAGGTCACGACAACTACGTTTAGGCACAACTAGCCAGTGAACCTTCTTGTTGTGTCCCCAACAAGCTAACAAGTTTTATATTTCATCGGTGGCTTTCTGTTTGCCACTCTTCCATAAAGAACAGCTGGATAATGATGAGATTCACTCTATGTACTCAGTAGGTGACGTCTGAAGTTTGTTACACTGGATTGTCAGATTAAAGCTGGTTGATCACAAATGCACACTAAAGTTTTTCAATTTAAACGTATTTCTTTTGTTTTATCACATAAACTTTCATTAAAATATACTGAAATTTGTGGTTATAACATATCAAATGCTTTTGTAAAGCACCGAATGACACACAGTGTAGGAAAAGGGTCAATGAAAGGTTGAAGGTAACAAAGGTTACCTATCGAAATTGAACATTTTACCGCAAATCCAAGGCTAAAATGTTCTTTGTAAGATGCACTTTTTTAAAAATGAGTGTTTATCCATCACAGGTTGGTCGGGCTTTATTTTCGTTAATTAATGCCATAAATCCTTCGCTGACACCTACTGTCTTAACCTCCCTCTGCTCCTTTCCCCGAGAGACGACTGAACACTGTCAGTTTTAATCTCTCTCCTAAGCACTGTCCTCTCGCCTCACACACACACACACGCATACACACGCAAAGCTTTCAAATAAGGGATTTAGATTACAGGGAACACTGCTACAGTCCCACGATGATGGAGTGTGTGTACTCTGAGGGTGAGCCTTCCTCGAATTCATATGATGTTTGTTGACTCCCTTCACATAAACAGGTGGCTGTGTGGAGATAACGTTCCGCATTTTGTGCCGACGACGACGATGATGCTGCGGAGCCCGCCCGCCCGCCCGCCCAGACGTACGCAGTCATCCAACGTTGTGTCAGGAGTTTTGGGTGTTTGTTTTTTTTTTTTCTTCTCTTTAATCCTAATGCTTTCAGTGGGACATTTATTAATCTCTCTGTTTCAAAAGGAGAGCGACAAAGCCTTTCAGGTGAATAAGCGAGGGATTCCTCCGAGGGTATCTCCACACACCCGCTCGACGATTAGCCGAGACAAGGCAGCAAAGCTCGCGGTTTTGTTGCCAACGCTGCAGAAGGTTGCACAAAGACGAGGCCCTGTTTCCCATCCCTCACTCCCGACCTCTTCTGCTTCCATATTGCTTTTCAGCTTGTTATCAGGTGTCGGTTTTGCCTACAGACGGCATATGAGAAGCTATGTTAGTCATTTTTGAGGCGCATGCCATCATCCACCCAAATGTCCTTTACTGTGTTCAGCATAACAAGATGGTGACCCACCGCCTCACTGGTCCGTAGTTCTTTTCTTCATAAGCTATCAAAATAAAAAATAAAAAAACTGGAGCACCCGGCGTGTGTTTGTGTGTTTGCCACTTGGTTAAAAGTGCGCGCGCGTTGAGAGCGTTTTCTGACTTTGATCCTAATGAAAGATTTATTCTCTCCTCCGCCGATGTCTTGGCTGGCTTTACTAAACCAGCATCTCTAAATGCCGACCTTGTCACTTCAGCATGTTGGCAGGCCAACCTCTTTGTTTGATCTCTTGTTTCAAAGGCCCTGAAACACAAGCTGACACAGCCGAAGGAGGCGAGGCGATTCATTAAGAGTGCATCCAACGGAGCTCGGTCTGCAGCGACATGCTTGGGCTGATTGCTGTAGATCGTTTATATCTCATTTCTTTGCTTGTTTGTCTAATCTGTAAATGTACTCGGATTGCTCAACAAATGTATACACTCATGTCAGTCGGTCTTACAGGATCTTCACTTTGCAGGATATACATCCCATAGACAACACAAAAAATATACGTAGTAAAAAAAAGCATTTTTTTTATCATGTCTTTCAAAAACCCTTGTAGATTGATCAGAAATAAGTCACGTCAGTTTTAATGCTCCTCTGAGAATGCTTGTTCTTTTTGCCCATTTAAATTCAGTAAATGCAATTTGCCCATTTTATACTTCTTTTTTTAGCGTCCGAGTAAGTACTGCTTGAATCACTTCTAGGTTCGGGTTTGCAGTTATTCTGCTTCTTTTATTAAAATTACAGACGTCTCACTGTGACTGTTTACATTCAGCACAATCCCTCCCCACTCGCTCCTGCCTGGTGTAACAAATTATTGTTTGCTGAAAATGAAAAGAGCCAAGTTTGTTCGTTGTGAGACGTTGTGCACATGGCATAACAACACTAGGAAGAAAAAAACAAACCCCATCTGTAAACGATTACGACTATTTGTAAAAAAAAAAAAACTCTTAATTTCCTGAACACCTAAATTGTTGAATATGGAATTATTATGTAATTGTAATTAAACACTCAATCAATCAGTCTTTATTGATGAGGTACATTTCATATAAAGCAAGAGCCACACAATGTTTAAGATAAAGTAATTGGAAAAATAATAAAAATGGAGAATAACTAAACAAAGAAAAGACAAACACAGGGAAATTAAATCTAAAGAGATTTGAAGAAGTGTGAGGTTTAAAGCTGTTAGTAAAGATGCCACTGCACAAATCACTTTTACAAAGTGCAGACTCTAATCTCTTCATAAGTCTGCTAAAACAAAGATTAAAAATAATTTAAAAAAAGTTAAATCTATATTTATTCCAAACTACTGATAAAATAGTTTGTTTAGCACGGCAATAAAACAAATGTTTAAGTATAGACAAGAAGATAATTTTAGATAAGACTTAAGGGAAAACAAAGGTGCAATGAAACCACTGGTGTATTTATTTCATAAGGGCTTCATTTTGACATTTTGTCCCACTTATCTGGCAAGCACTTCTCTAAGGTGGTCACTAGGGGGCAGCACAGTGATCAGAACTGAACTCCCAATTGCACACAGGGCAGCATAACTGGAAGATATAAAGAAGTGTTACAGAAGTAATTTTTAATTAAATGAAGATTGTTGAGGAGTTTTGACAAGTTGAAATGATGAGAATGTCGACACTGTGGTGACGTGTCCAGTTCTCAGGCAGAGATTTGCAGCCATCACCAACTTAGCAACAACTGGCCTCAGAACTTTGTGAAATTTTACACAGATACTTGCATTTTCTGTGGTGACTTGATGTTTTGATGGACCAGATTATAATCCTGTCTGCTTACATAAACATGTTGGCACACGTAAACGATCAAATATAATGGAGTGACTGTCAGAATATATTTTATATAGACATATTCTATCTATAGTGCTAGAGAGAGAGGATTCTTATCCTTGCAAGTTTATTTGTCAATTTTTAGGAGCGACTGAAGGGATTTTAAACACATGTACTTGATAGCAGAGTTGTTTGCCAGGTGTAGCTTAGTGCCACCCAAAAGACTTTGTGTCTTTTGGGTGAAATTTTTCATTCTTCTCTAGCTGCTAATCCATTTGTTTTTAGGCAAACAAATTGATTCTCTGCACCTGCAATATGCTTGCAGCATGTTTGTCTGTGCAGTGTGGGATTACGGTCCTTACCTGAGCTACAATCGACACTGGTAATAAATGGTTTCTGCTGTGGCATTATGTGATGTGACTGACACGACTCGGTTTATGCTAATTGATGTGAAGCAAAAGGAATAGCTTTTTTGACATGTTTCAGAAATTCAAAGACAAGCAGACAAGATTTTAGATGGTTACAAAAAAACTGGATGCCATGAGCTCAGAAAGAAGGATTCATTATTTGTTGTCTAAACCTAATTAAACTAAGGTTCAATTAGGAATATATATATATATATATATATATATATATATATATATATATATATATATATATATATATATATATATATATATATATATAATTTACAAAAATGACCTTAAGTTTTCTGTAGATCACCTATAAACTGAACTTCAAGCGGTGAGCTGTGAACGAAACAAGACGCCGTTTCAGATTCTTGATTATCAACATATATTTACACCACAACAGCCTATAAATAACCTGGACGGTGTTTAGCAAATACTTCCCTGAAAGCCACTCTGACTCACTCATCCCACACAGCAGCCATCTGAACAATACAGTGAGCGCTAAAAGCTCTCTTACTGTAAAAGGTCACAAAGGACATCATCATCTGGCTCCTGGGAGAAGACGGCTCTCTGACATGGCAACGGTGCACACATAACCACTCCTGTTAGATTTACTAAAAAACAAAAAAGGTACGCCGAATACTTTTCACACTTTCACGGTTGTAATAGAAGTGGGACTTAACGAACAGAATTTGACAACTCATTTCTATAAAACATTAGCCTTTTTCGAGTTGTTTCTATTGGACCTGACTTTTCTAAGCCTCCGGCACAAAATTTCAAACTCTTGACCAAGCAGTAAATTACTTTGTAAGTCAGCCGCAGATCTCAGAAGGAATCTGACCGAACAGGGAAAAGCGATCGATGCTGTTTGCACGCATCGTGTGTTTTGGAGAATTCCTTCTCAAGCCCAGAATTAGTTTTGTTGTCAGAAACTTGACCCTCAGAGACACCGTCTAATGTTCTGCTTCAAAGAGTGTGGCACAATCCGAGCTGAATAATGCAAAGATTCGATACGAGAGAACCGCGAGTTTACTCGCATCAATGCTGACAGCCAGCAGAGGCGGTTTTCACATTTCCCGTCTTCAGGTTTTGATGTGTAATGCAGTGCCTTATAAAAACAACTTTCGCCAATTTGCTTTACAAATAAAAGTCTGAAATTTGTTGTGAGCATCTGTGTTTGGCCCCCTTTGCTCTGATACCATGAAATAAAACTCTGAGCTACCTTTCTCCACAACGAGGTAAGTACTATGTTTAACAGTTTACATAAAAACAAAATCCATATTAAAGTAATGTGACATTAAAAGTATTGATGTGATGACAATTAATATATACTATACTATAGTGTTTTGTTGCTATAAACAAAAAGCTTTGTTGTTTATAGCTCTTAACATGAATTTAAAATAAATTACGGAAATCAACAAATGTTGATGTCCATTAAACTCATCCAAAAAATAAAAAAAGACAACTAAATATACATATTTTAATATGGATTCCTCTCTTTTATCATGGGTTTATTTACACCTCTGATTCTAAATATACATGACTGAACAATGCTGGCACAAAGAGTACATGATTCACTGTCTATCATTGTTCTCCCATTTGACTCACATCCTCCACTTTTATTTTTTCTCTTTAAAGATTGGCATGAATTCTGATCATTTCCACTAATGTGTACATAAATAATATGCAACGAGCTTCAAGGTGGCGGTGCATACGATGTCATTTTAGCTCCCTCTTCTGTTCATTTGCATGCTAACGCTCTACATGGTTCGTTATTCGTGAATGCAGTAAGTGCCAGAAGTACTTCCCGTCTGAACACACTTCCTTGGATTTGTGTTCTGTGTTGGATATATGACAAAAATGGTGGAAAAGTATATTAAATGTAAACTAAATGCAGAGTCAATAAGCGATATGGCTCTGAGATGGCATCTGGGAAAATGTAAATATAAAAGTGCACGTGATCCAAATTGAAGCATTCATTTTCAGAAACATGTGGAGTATGACAGAGATTATGTTCTCTTTGTTGCATTTGCAAGCAAACCCTAAACTGCTATCACTTAATTTTTCAGGAGTATTAATGTAATACAAGCTCAAATACAACAGGGAAAACAAATATGGCCTTTAAAAAAAATAAAATAAAAAATCAGCAAATTGACACTTCTCACCCCACCATTACCTGACAGGATGTACCCAAAACATGTTGTCTCTATCAATGCTCTAACATGCAGAAGATCCAATCTCTACTTCTCTTCTCCTCCTCCCTCATCTCTTTATCTTCTGTCCTCACTTTTCTTTTTTTTTCTCCCCCATCTCTGTCACTGCCCTCAAGCTGGCTAGGTGAGATAACTCCTCCACACGGAGACGCTCGTAGCTCATTGGCTGGGTGATGGAACAGAGTTCTCCAATCAGACTCTGCATCATCAGTTGTGAAGATCGTGGGCCAGAGTAGAGGCTGCTTATCTGGTTTTACTGAGCCTCCATCGTGCTCATGCATCAAATTCCCTTGGAAAACCTCGGAGCGCTGGATTTTCTGGTGCAAACGTACCATCTTCACTTGGATTAATCGAGCGTAAAGCAGCTCAGCCCTCCTACGGGCTGATGGAGTTACAAAAGAAAAAAAAGCACATTTTTAAGGCCTTATTTATGCGCACGTAGTTGGTAATTACACTCCATTCAGGCTTCTCATTAACAACCATGCCAGCTTTTTCCATTAGCGGGTAAAAATGGCAGAAAATTGCCCACTCTGTTTTGAACACTTAGCATCACTTCCCATCTGCTCAGACGGTGACACACCTCCTCTGTCTGAAGAGTGCCAGTAGCTTTTCTTTGCCCACTGAAACGACCGCACAGGAGAAACGAGAAGTGCGTCAAAAGTGTCTTCAAGGGCAAGAGCCCTTTTTCTATTTCTTTTTCTTTGCAATTTCAGACAAAGATTGCAAGATTTGACTTCACACTCGAGCTCAAAGACTCACTCCACTCCAGTTCCAGCGAATATGTATTCAGCTGGATAGCCCAGGGTTTGTGGAAGCCAAAAAACATCCAAATAAGAGGGAAAAAATGAGCACTAAGTTGTTATTTTGTTTGCTAGTTTGTGTGTGTGTGTGTGTATTTTATTAAGGGGAAATGATTTCAATCTGGTTAGACGGTTCTTCCTGGCTCTGCCTCCCTCCTGCCTTATTCTAAGAGCCTAGGTTATTCTGAGGTATCTTTAAGCTGCTATAGGCTCAGGCTACTAGGGAAC